GAAATCATACGCGTGATTTGAAATCACAAGTATGATTTCAGACCAAAATTGCACAACATGAGGTTCAATTACCACTTCCATTTTGAAATCGTCCAAATACAGGACTTGGTCAATTCAAATATTTTATTGATGCAGTACTGAGCCGTTTTTTAAATAAAGAGCGGAACCGGAAATGCTTTACATCTTATTTTGTATGCAAAACAGAAAGACTCAGTCAAGAGTAAAATGATGCGATTTAGAGGAAAAAATGGTGCGATTCGTCAATTTATTACATCCATTTTGAAATCAATGATGGTCCCTTAAATCTGATTGGCTCTAATTGGTGCGATTTATTCACAAATCGCACCATTTTTTCCCGGGGGGGACTCCCATATGAAACAGACGGGGATGCTCGTCGTCTCGCTTAGGGGTATAAATTGTTTACCGTATTACCTCAACATTAACTAGTTTTTTATTTTACGAAGTGCCAAAGAGACAATGCATGAACATGAGCGGTCTCTTTTAGGGATCAAAATTTGCTTAAGCCACACCGAGATGGTCTCCTTTAGGGGTCACATTTAAAATTTCCGACGAGCATCCCCGTCTGTTTCATATGGGAGTCCGCCCCGGCCATGTTTTGCTCTAAATCGCATCATTTTACGCTTGACTGAGTTTTTGACATATGACGTCAAAGTCTTTCTGTTTTGCATGCAAAATAAGATGTAAAAGCGTTTCCGGTTCCCCTTTTATTTAAAAACCTGCTCAGCCTGACTGCATCAGTAAAATATTTGAATTGACTAAGTCCTGTACTTGGGCGATTTCAAAATGGATGTAATAAAGTGGTAATTGAACCTTGTGTCAGTCGAGCAATTTTGGTCTGAAATCATACTTGTGATTTCAAATCGAACTCGCGCTGCGCGCTCGTTACCATTATAAATCGCTCCAATTAGAGCCAATCAAATTACAGGGACCACCAGTGATTTCAAAATGGATGTAATAAAAGGCGTAAACTTCATCTCTAGAAGAAAATGAAATTAAAACATCGAAGCTCAAAATCCCCTTTGTTGGTAAGTACTCATTTCGCAGGAGTTTGACAAGAAATTTCAATAAGGTTGACTGATGTAGAACAGTGATTTCCTACGTATGATGCACGATCCTCGCAGTAGAGAGCGCTATTTATGCAATAGCAAAAATCAGACCTGAAAAAAATCCGGCCTGTACGGGATTCGAACCGTACAGGCCTGATTTTTTTCTGGTCTGATTTTCGCTATTGCATAAATAGCGCTCTCTACTGCGAGGATCGTGCATCATAAGTATCTAATACCGCAGTTCAAAATATATGAACTTCATATATTCATTGTAAGTGATTTCCTAATAAGTGACTCGACCTGTCAAAATTCCCACGGTAATGGAACATATTACCTTGAATTCAATCGCGATAGTAATTTTGAAAACTTTGAATAGAACACAGATTGTTTGTGTACAATCGCTTTTGCTCATATCATGAATGAACTTGAAAAATGTAAATACTCTTGTTGCAAATGTTGCTTTCATTCACTACCGCTTGATGCTTCTTGAGAGCCGGCGCTTTGAATAGAAATGCAATCAATTTTCTTAAAATCGATATCTGTATTCAGTGGAGTAAAATCCACATACGAATTGGCTGTCGGTCTAC